CCCTGGGGGAAGGATGTTGCAAAATCTCCATTCCTACCCCACTCCAAGGGGAAGGATACGGCAAAATCCCCATTCCCTCCCCACTCCAGGGGAAGGATACTGTAAACTTTCCATTCCCACCCCACTCTGGGGCCAGCCAGAAGTGGCATTTGCCGGTTCTCCGAACTACTCAAAATTTCCGCTACCAGTTTTCCAGAACCTGTGAGAACCTGCTGAATAGCACCCCTGCATCATCCTGATACGAACCCAGCCGGGAAGACCTGCGGGGCGTCATAAAAGTCAAAATGTCAGCCACAACCCACCAAATTGAAGTCGTAGCTTTTTGAGGCGTCATTAAAAAAAAAAGGGGGGGGGAGGCTTTGATTATTTAGCTGCAGCTGCCAACTTAACTTTTTCTTTTTTTAACCCACCTGCGGGCATTCTTGCACTCGGCCCTAAACTTGTGAATGTTGAATTTCTATCTATGTAGTAGGGGATGTAACAATAAGTGTTTCTTTTTTTCTTTAATCAAGCATTTAGGCAGACAGAGGATGAGAATGAGAATAAGGAAACATTGCATCCGATGCAGGGGTGAAATCCAGCAGGTTCTGACAGGTTCTGGAGAACCGGTAGTGGAAATTTTGAGTAGTTTGGAGTACCGGCAAATACCTAACCTCTGGCTGGCCCCAGAGTGGGGTGGGAATGGAGATTTTGCAATATCCTTCCCCCACAAGCGGGGAGGGAATGGGGACTTTGCAGTATCCTTCCCCTGCCATGCCCACCAAGCCATGCCCACAGAACCTGTAGTAAAAAAAAAATTGAATTCCACCACTGGTTCCGATGCATTTGTCTCGTGAGAAAACCTGTAATGAAAACAACTTTTGTTTGCTAAGGAAATAGCAGCCTTTTTTTTTTTTGGAGGATAAATGTAGTTAACTTCCTGCAAGATGTAAGGGGTAGGATATTCTTGATAGTCCCATGCAGACAAATGTTCCGGCTGGAAATCGTTAACACCACAAGGAAGCTAAATATAGGAACCAAAAGAATAAGGACAAATTACCGGAAGCTGTTTTGGGAGTGTCATTACCCATTTCACCACTCGTCAGCTGGCGAGTCATAATAATTATATCGTAGACAAAAGAAATTCTACAACCAAATGTATTTTTTTTTTCTTTCCAACACTAGAATTAAACCCCAATACTATGGCAAGACAAGTCACACCAGACAAACTTTTGCCTGTGATAAAAGCCTAGAAAATCTAGTTGTTACGTCTAGTTAGTGAAAAGAAGGACCAGGAGTGTTTCAGCATTTGAGGGGCTGCCAGAAAGAAGAGAGGGGTCCACCTATTCTCCAAAGCACCAGAAAGCAGGACGAGAAAAACAATGGAGGGAAAAACAAAGAAAAACTCACCAAGGACGGAACCAACCTAGAACTAAGGAGAAATTTCCTGACAGTAAGTACAATTAAACAGTGGCACAACTTGCCTCCAGAAGTTGAGGATGTTCCATCACTAAGAGATTTTCAAGAAGACATTGGACAACCATTTGTCTGAAATAGTATAGACCTTATACTATTTCCCGACTTCTAGTGGGTCCGGAAGGCCTGTTTTTCACCCTCCCCAGGTTCCAGAGGATTTCTTAGAGCCTGGGGAGGGCAAAAATGGCCTCCCCCCATCCCTGGAGTCCCTCCGGAGGCCAGAAATGGCCCGTTTCCCAACTTCCAGTGGACCCGGTAAGCCCGTTTTTCGCCCTCCCCGGGCTCCAGAGACTTTCTTGGAGCCTGGGGAGGGCAAAAACAGCCTCCCCCACCCCCTGGAGGCCCTCCGGAGGCCAAAAACGCCCTATCAGAGCCTCCGCACAAGCCCTGTACTTACCTGGCATCCAAAATGGTGTGGAGACTCCTGGGAAGGGAGGCATGGGTGGGGCCAGCTGATAATCAGCCGGTTGGTACACGCATGCGTGCTGGAGCTGAGCTAGGGAAACGCTCGCGTGCCCACAGATATGGTTCCGCATGCCACCTGTGGCACGCGTGCCATAGGTTCACCATCACAAGTATAGGGTCTCCTCCTTGAGCAGGGGGGTTCAATTAAAAGACCTTCAAAGTCCCTGCCAACTCTGTAATTCCGTTTATCTCCCCCCCCCACTTCTACAAAAAGTGGAGATGGGTTTATAGTACATGTGAAAGCTTGTTCTGCTGAAGGACAGTTTCTTAAAGAAAGCAAGCATGGTGGGATTCACACAACACATCAAATTGTACATTGGTATTTAACCTTCAGAAAAACTGGGTTTCAAAGTCGCAAGAAGCTGACACTGAACCAGTGGTGGGTTCCTCCCGGTTCGGTCCGGTTCGGCCGAGCCGGTAGCGGTGACGATATGACATCACCGAACCGGTTCTCCCACCCCCCCACGTTATTCTTACCTTTTATTTGGTCCCACCCCCAATCTATTGCTGCCTCCTGAGTCCCAGCTGATGACTAGAGGGAAAAAAACTGTTTAAACTCTTGCCACGGGGCTTCAAAGGGCCGTCCTACAGCTGATCAGTGTTAAAAGCAAACAAATGAGTCGGGTCGTAAGTGCGAGGACCTTCCAGAAATGACTCTGACCAGCTACCCACACCCACCTAGTCACATGACTCTAAGCCACACCCACAAAATAAACCACGCCCACAGAACCGGTAGTAAAAAAATTTAGAACCCACCCCTGCACTGAACCATTATATGAATGCTTAGCCCAAGGTGTAAACCCAGACAGTGGCTCTTACTGAGAGCTCAACAGGCATCTTCTGATGAAGAGTCCAGTGAAACTCAAAAGCTTGCATGCTCTAATACAATACTTCATTAAAATATATCCCTTTAAGGGACACATAATCAGACATATGAAGGAGTCATAAAAGTATATTTTCATCCCCATCTGCAGGGCTTCGAACCATCTCATAATAAAGTTCAGCATTTTTTCTATCTTGTGCTAGTCGATTACATTTTTCTTTTCTTTTCTTTTCTTTTTTTTTTAAAAAAAATGTGGTTTCTTATCTCTGGCCACACTGAGGCCTCTTTCCAGAAGTCAGTTTATAAATATAATTTTAAACTTGCCAATGTTGAGGTCTGGAAGCTGAGCGAGAGCAATTGACATTTGCAGTTTGCTTTCCTTTCCTAACTTTTGGCTCCAGAATGCCCAGGGGTGGGCTACTGGGGGTTCGCAGGGGTTCGGGAGAACCTCTAGCTAAGATTCTGGGCAGTTTGGAGAACCCCCAAATCCCACTCCTGGCTGGCCCCGCCCATCCTACAACACCCCTCCCAGGAGTCCCCACGTGGCCTGCTTTGGATACAGGTAAGTGCAAGACATGCGTGGAGGCTCGGGGAGGGCCTATTTCCCCTCGGAGAGGGCTCTCACCAGGCTCCGGAGGCTTTCCTTGAGCCTCCGGGAAGGCGAAAACAACCTCCCCAGGCTCTGGAGGCCTTCTGGAGGTTGGAAACGGGCCCATTTTCAGCCTTCCTGAATTTCCTACCAGAAATTCAGGAAGGCTGAATTCCTACCGGAAATTCAGGAAGGCTGAAAATGGGCCCGTTTCCAACCTCCAGAAGGCCTCCAGAGCCTGGGGAGGTTGTTTTTGCCCTCCCGGAGGCTCAAGGAAAGCCTCCGGAGCCTGGAGAGAGCAAAAACGCTCCCCACCCCGGCGTGGTGCAGGAGGCCGACTAGGCCACGCCCACCATGGTCACGCCCACCCAGCAACCGGGCAGAGAACCCCTTGCTAAAATTTTCGAAGCCCGCCCCTGAGAATGCCCCAGGGAGCATGTCAGCTTGCTGTAAAGCAAAAGCCACAAAAAGCCACGGCTTCAAAACCAGGTGGGTGCCAGAATCTGCTGCTCCTTGTAGATCACTTGACCTGCTCTCCATCTCGAGTCTATCCTTAGAGCTGGCAAATTGGGAGTGGGAGACAGAGGTCGAGTTGCACTCACACCCACCCCTTGAATGAACGGAAGAAGGGAGCAATCCCTCCCTTTGATTGGACAGCCAAACCAGCTTTCTTAAGCCCGCTGCAACCTTGGTTCCTGTCTCTTTTTTAAAATTATACATATATGCAGAGAAAGAGAGAGACACACACACATACACATGCAAACAAGCCACAAGTGACAGATAGGTAGGTAGGTAAAGTAGGTAGGTAGGTAGGTAGGTAGGTAGAATAGGACAGGACAGGACAGGACAGAACTTTTTATTGGCCAAGTGTGATTGGACACGCAAGGAATTTGTCGTTGGTGCATATGCTCTCAGTGTACATAAAAAGAAAAGATACATTCGTCAAGAATCATAAGGTACAACACTTAGTGATAGTCATAAGCAAACAGTCAATATAAAGGATACCAGCAACAAGGTTACAGTCATACAGTCATAAGTGGGAGGAGATGGGTGATAGGAACAATGAGAAGATTAATAGTAATGCAGACTTAGTGAATAGATAGGTAGGCAGGTAGGTAGGTACCCTGTTTCCCCCCAAAAAAGACATCCCCTGATAATAAGCCCAATCGGGCTTTTGAGCGCATGGCAATAAGGCCAAGCGCTTATTTCAGGGTTCAAAAAAATATAAGACAAGGTCTTATTTTCGGGGAAACATAGTAGATAGATTAGATAGATAGATAGATAGATAGATAGATAGATAGATAGATAGATAGATAGATAGATATAGATAGATAGATAGAAAGATGGATAGATAAAGACAGACAGATAGATATGGATAGATGAGTAGATATAAATAGATGTTAGACAGATATGCAAACAAACCACGATTAGTCCACTGCTACATATAGTATTGAATCAGCCCAGTGCAACAAGATCACAGAGAGACACATCCACCCACACGCAAATAAGCTACAATCAGCCCAGTGCAAACGTACACACACACATATATATACACACACAGCACACACTCACAGGGACTGCGAGACCGACACCCACATACGCAAACAAGCCATCTCTCAAGGAACAGCTAATCTGCTTTCATTCATCTGTTCTTTCACACAGCATCCCCGAGTTTCAGCTTGATGGACAGCACCATCAACACCACCTCCTCTTCCTCCTCCTCCTCTCTACTGAAGCCCAGGTACTCCCTGCCTGGGTCTGGACTGAGCAGCATTTCCCCTGCCTGAGCAGCCGTGGGAAAAACCCCCCTTCTTTTCTCCTGTCGCCGCCGATGGCTGGGAAGGGGGACAGCTGGAAACCTCTCCTTCTCTTCATCTGGGAGAGGCAGCAAATGCCAGCGAAGTAAGGTGAGTGGAGTCCCGCCAGGACTGCCTTGTTTACGTCTCCCCACCCCTCTATCCTGGGAGAAATAATAAGAATAAAGTGGGAAAAATAAGAAAGGGCTTTCTAAGATGACTCTCTCCCACCTCCCAAGTTATGTTCCATTCCGCTTAAGTATTATAGACGATGAATGTGATTATTTTGAGATGTCGTGTAGACAAGCATTAAGCAAAAAAGCTTTCTTGAAGTGTTATTACTATTATAGATGCAAAACTTTTTAAAAGAATGGCTCTCTCTAATGATGGTTTTTACCTACCCCGAAAAGAAGGGGTGTAACTTTCAGCTTATCTACCCCACTCTGGATTCAATCCACCTATTCGTGGAATTGCACACCTGCCCCCTCGGTTGGGTGTGTTTCAATGCACCCTGGAAAACACTGCTCACTTTTGTCAATTATAGAATAGAGTAACAGAGTTGGAAGGGACCTTGGAGGTCTTCTAGTCCAACCCACTGCCTAGGCAGGAAACCCTACACCACTTCAGACAAATGGTTATCCAACCTCTTCTTAAAAACTTCCAGTGTTGGAGCATTCGCAACTTCTGGAGGGAAGTTGTTCCACGGATTAATGGTTCTAACTATCAGGAATTTTTTTCCTGACAGTTAGAACAATTAATTAGCTATAAGAAGCAGGAAGGCATCCACCAATCGGAGACAGACGGTAGAGAATTGAACCAGGAAAAGGGAGAAAAAGAACTCGGTGGATGGATTCACACAACGTGCGAAGACAAGCTTGAACGAAGCCCCTGCTTTGAAACCCAGTCTTTTGTCTTTGGTTGTGAAATGAACCAGACATCTCATTAAAATATGTAACCGTTCCTGGCTGGTTGTGTGAACCCAGACATTGGGCTTTGCTAATCAGGGTTTGACTTGTTGTGTGAACACAGCCCACAAAGGATATTCTAAGTTTAACTCCAGTCTATCATAACTCGCATTTTGGTTGTTTCCTAGATTGGCAGACAGTGTCTGGTCTGATCAAATGAGGGTTCTCTAATTTTGAGGAGTCAGAGGGGACAGTGGGAATCTTGAGCGCATATTTGGGGCACGCTTGCGGAATGATGGCCAGAGTGGATGTTGGCCAATCACAAAACACCCATTTATTAAGAAGCCCAAAAACAAAACAAAAAACCAGTTCTGAACTTTTATTCCCATTTTTATTTTCTAAGAATGTCCGGGAAATCTAAGGGGGCCTTGGGAGAATAACTAGAAAAATGGTTTATCTCTCAGGCTGTTCGGAGCACACTAGTTCGCCATTCATTTTTTAAAATTACGATCATCTTTTAAAAAGCAAATAAAATTAGAGCCAGCAGGGATGTTTCTTCTAATGCTCAGAAACATCTTGGCACATTGTCTTTTCCTCTGGACGTCACACTGGGATTCAGAAACCACAACGTTCGACAGCAATTCCAATTTTTCTCTTCCACCCGACTTTCTTGCGAGAGAGAAAAAGTGGAAGATGCAAAGTATTAAGTAGATTCTTCGTAGATTTCTGCTTCCCTATACAGTTCTTATCCAACTTGGTTCATTTTAACTGAATCTTAATTTGAGATCTCTGTTGTTTTAATGTTTTGCTCTGCAGTTTTAACTGAATGATTGTAAGATTCCTGGGGCCAAATGGGCGGCATATAAGTTTAATAAATAAATAATAAATAAATTCCATCAATGGCCAGACCTGCTGTGTGCATGCATGCTCGATCCATGGATGGGGGAGGGGAAACAACTCTTATAGTGAATATGGGAAACCTAAATTCAGAGGGCTGGAGTTACCATATTTCTTCCATTAAAAAAAAGAGACATGTGAAGGCCTTCTGCACTCAGTGCACACAGTCACAACAGCCTCTTGGGGAGGGGGGCGGGGATAAAAGACGGAAGGGGCTTATAGAATAGGGAACCTTCGGCGTTTGCCCTTAGCTAGGAGGGGCCATGGTGAACAGAGCAGCGCAAAAGAGCTCGAGTGGATCTCGGGGAGCCCAGACATGTTGGGTGGCTGCCTTCAGCTCTCCCTTTTTGAGGAATGGGTGGCTCCGTGGCTAAGACGCTGAGCTTGTCCATCAGAAAGGTTGGCAGTTGGGCGGTTCGAATCCCTAGTACAGGTGTTCTCAACTTGCTAAACCAAAGTTTGTGGGACTAACTTCCATAGATTCAGCTGATCCACAAGTGAAGCCAATCGCCCAACCAGCTTTTTGAGTTTTTGTGAATGGGGAAGTGTGAGAACTGGCATCGGGATAGGTTGGGGCGGGGGATGGTAACAGAATTGGAAGGGACCTTGGAGGTCTTCTAGTCCAACCCCCTGCTCAAACAGAACACCCTATAGCATTTCAGACAAATGGTTATCCAACATCTTCTTAAAAGCTTCCAGTGTTGGCGCATTCACAACTTCTGGAGGCAAGTTGTTCCACTGATTAATTGTTCTGACTGCTGGGAAATCTCTTCTTTGTTCTAGGTTGCTTCTCTCCTTAATTAGTTTCGACCCATTGCTTCTTGTCCTGCCTTCAGGTGCCTTGGAGAATAAGTTGAGTCCCTCTTCTTGTGGCAACCCTTAGATATTGGAACCCTGCTGTCATATCATCCCTGGTCCTTCTTTTCATTAAACTAGACGTACCCAATTCCTGCAACCATTCTTCATAGGTTTTATAGCTTCCAGTTCCCTTGATCATCTTTCTTGCTCTTCGCTGCACTTTTTCCCCCAAGCCTCAACATCTTATTTACATTGTGGCGACCAAAACTGGATAAGAGAGCCCTAGGCTGTTGTTGTTGTTGTTGTTGTTGTTGTTGTTGTTGTTGTTGTTGTTTTCTTACACATCCACAGCAGAGTCTCAAAGGTGCTTTTTTTTCCCCAAGATTTTTGGACTTTCTGGTTTTTCTTTCTTCGAAGACGTTTCAAGCTTCTCCCATCCAAGAAGCTTCTCCAGCTCTGACTTGGATTCTGTTGGAATTCAATACTTTTACGAATGTTTATAATAATCGTACGATTCATGCTTCAAAAATATATCCATCCAAGCAAATGAAAGAGAAAAAAAGGGAATGATAATTGGAATTTAAGATTTAAGATTTAAGTTAACGGGTTTTTGGGGGGGATAACGGCATAGTTAAATAATAGATTTGAGGGAAATAACTGAGTAAAATATGAAGTTGTGTTAATTTTATTATATTATATTTTATTTATTATATTTCTATACCGCCTTTCTCCCGTAGGACTCAAGGTGGTGTACAGTCAAGAAAAATATAGACACACAAACATCATAAAAAATTAAAAATTAATTTTAATTGAAAATCTAAAATTTCTTAGTGATTTTTATGAATTTGTGACCGGATCAAGAGCTTTGTTTTGAAAAGCTGTGTTTTATGTTTATGTTTTAAAATAATAATTATTTTTTAAAAAAAAAAAAAAGAAAAAAAATCAACTTTCTGACAATCGGGATCTGGATGGATGACTTGAGAATCTCCATATTATATTCCAATTGCGAATAATCCATTATAGAGTGGGTGGTAGAGGCGGCCACAACCCCCCCCCCCCCCCCTCTTTCCCGCTCCGGAGCCAGCGCTGCTCCAATCCAGCGAACCCCGCAGCGTCACCGGCCCGCCCGCTTGGCCTTATCCGGGCGTGGGTGCCGAAGCAGCTGGGCGCGCATCGATTAGCGCGGGGCTAATGGGCCTCGGCAGCTCCGCAGCACGTGCGCCGCCGCTCCCCGCCGCCTCGGGGCCTCCCCGAAAGCGCCGCCAGCGCCGCTCGCTCCATCCCGGTGCCTAATTATTAACCAGCCGGGCTGAGAGCGGAGACAGGCGGGCGGGGCGGCGAGACTTAATTCGGCCCGAAAGCTGAGCCGCCGCGGGGGCGCAGCTGCCTTTGCCTTCCCGTCCCTGCGCTGGGCAGGCGAACGACGGAAGGATGGATGGATGGATGGATGGATGGATGGATGCCTGCCCGGCTGTTTTCTCACGATCCCCCCGACCTCGAGTTCCCCCGAATGAAAATCGCGGTGCGGGTTTGCAGCGATCGATCGAAAGAACTGGGTTCGCGCAAGGCGCGGAACGCCGCCAAACCCGTGTCTAGCCGACACGGGTCGTGTGAATGCATCCGATCGAGTGTTTTTTGTTTTTTTTTAAGCAAGCTGGGGAAGACAGTCTTGTGGGAATTATTTATTTATTTATTTATTCATTTATTTATTTATTTATTTATTTATTTGTTGCGATTTATATGCCGCCTTTCTCCCTAGGGACTCAAGGCGGCTTACAAAATGACAACTTCAATACAAATCACAATGCAATACCAAATTAAAATCAGTAACCCAGTTAAAAACGATTTAAAATTATACCAGTGTACCCCCCCAAACGGATCTTTAATTAGAGTCTGGTCCTCTCGGATGCTGGCGTTCGAGCATCCTAATAATTCTGTGCTCGGAGACAAAGGCTTCGATCTTCTCTGCCTCTTCCAAACACCCAAAATGACAAAAGTGCTACTATAGAAAATGCCTGGTATAAAAGCACTGCGATATAAAGGTCCCGAGTGAGAAATTTGATTTTTTTCTTCCTCCAGTTGCAAATCTTCGTCCATCTTTCAGATTAAGCTATGCTTTACTTAACTAGAGCAACTAAGATGATCGAAGGTTTGGAGACTAAACCATGTGAAGGATGGCTGCAGGGTTTGGCTTTGGCTGGTCTAAAGAAAAGAAGGACTAAGGGGGACATGATAGGAATATTCCAGTATTTGAGGGGCTGCCACAAAGAGGAGGGGGGCAAATTATTCTCCCAAGCACCAGAAGGCAGGAGAAGAAACAATGGATGGAAACTAACTAAAGAGAGGAGCAACCTGGAATTAAGGAGAAACTTTCTAACACTGAGGACAATTAACCAGTGGAACAGCTTTGCCTCCAGAAGTTGTGGGTGCTTCATCACTGGAGGTTTTTAAGAAGAAACTGGACAGGCCACTTATCTGAAATAATATAGGTTCTCCTGCTTGAGCTGGGTG